TGTGAATATTCTCAACATGATTTTAGCATGTTTTCTACATGTTCGAAACATGCTTTAGACATCTGGAAAATATTTGGCAACATGCTTCCTCTCCACTGATCGTCCTCCACGATGCTGGAGGCTATGTCTGGTGAAGCTCGGGCGCGATCGCATGCGCGGGCCACCCTCGGGGATGGACAGACCCCCCTTTAATAAAACGTGGTTTAGTGAAAACGACCTGCGGCCCAAACCTGGCGGGCGCAAGCCTGGAAAATAACGGCCGCGGCGCCCTCTCGAGAACCGAAAACGGACAATTCACTAATCGAGGGGGTTCTGTCCACCCCCGAAATAATGGAGGCTATGTCTGGTGAAGCTCGGGCGCGATCGCATGCGCGGGCCACCCACCTGCTTGCAGCGTCCAAAGATCAGCCCCGCCGCATCCTCGCGGTCCACGGGCGGCCCGAGCACCCAGAGGCCATCGGATCAAACCAGCCACCGACATCCGCAGCGAAGGCCCTTAGTGGGCCCTGGAAACGACAGGGTCGTTCTTTGTTACCAGTTCCGTTTTGCCATTGTTTTGCCGGTTCCGACGCCGTTTTTGTTACCGGTTCCGTCGCCGTTCTTTTACGGGTTCCCGCTCCGGTTCCAATCCTGGAGCCGCTTTTGTTGCCGTTTCCAGTCGCCGTTTTTTTGCCGTTTCCATTTTTAAGGGACATTTGTTCGGAAACGGTGAAAAAACGGTCCTGCCGTTTCCGGGGCCCACTAAGCGAAGGCCTCTGGTCCAAAGACTCTGCTCTGGGCTCAGACTTCGCCACGTCAGCCATGCTGGAGATGGGCGTGACACAACGCTGCTACTGCATGGGGTCCTTCTCGTGCTTGTCGAGGGACTGGGGCCACGGAAGCAGAGGCGAGATTGTCCACCAGAACTTGATGTCAGGGTTCCGCATGTGCGAGCGGCCAGGAGGGGGCTTCAGCTTGGTACGCTGCAGGATGAAGAGCTGCGCGCGACCGCAGGAGGCGTAACGATGCTAATTCTTGAAGAAGTGCATTCCCAAAGGAGGTGATCAACGCCGAAAACGGCGACGTGACCGAGCACACATCTCCCTCACTGGACGCGAAGGCGCATCCTGCCACAACGTACGTAATGCAGGGACCTGACCACCTGAGCTGCCCTGTCCCGGGTTTCCTCTTCCGGATGTAGCTGTGAAAAGACACAGTCGGCGTGTCCTGTGCGGTGGCCGCATAAGGGGGGATATCGCCGAAAGCGTCTTGGACATCGTTGGGTAGCAGCTCTTCTCTCCTGATGCAGCCTCCTCGATCCGACGAAACCACTCAATGTTCGGATCCGCCGCCGACCTGTGTCGAAAGCGTGGTGGGAACTCTTTGGGAACCGCCAGGACCTGGTGTCACCAGCCCGCATGCCCCCGACCAGATCTTTACGTTTAAGTCGGGCACGTCCCTCTACAGGAGGAAGATTCAAACATACAATGGGGACGATGTTTTTCAACTTTGTCCTCCCAAATCGGCCTGTAGGGGGACATGCCCGACCTAACTTTACGTCCACAGCAAGAATGGTCGTCCACGGTACCTGAATGAAAAGCCGCTCGCGAATCTGCTCGGCGAAGCCGCGCTTGACGGCGAGGCAGTCGATGGTCGTGCCGCTGCCGGCTGTGCGCGTGTCCTTCCTCGCAGCCTTGTGGAAGAGCGCTCTCGGATAGCTCAGACGTTCTGAAGGCCGCTGCGGATCAGCTCCTGGGGATGGATGTTCCAGTCCGCGCAAATGAGCCACGGGCCCGCGAGAGCCCTGACAGACTGGGCGACGGACGCGAGGCGACTGGCACTGAGGCCACCTGTCTTGGGCCCCAGGAAGAGATGCGCGGCCAACACCATCCGTTGCCCCTCTTGGAATGGACCGTGGTGGCACAAAAACCCTGGAAGGCCCTTCGTGCTCGAGTCGGTCTCGTCTCTGCCGTAACTGGGCGCGTGCTCGGCAGTACCTCGCGCTCGACAGTAGCTCGCGCTCGGCAATAGTTCGCGCGGCGCCACCACCGCGCGCAAAAACTGCGAGGGGCGGCGGCGGACCTGCGAATCGGAAGCCCGGGAACGCGTTGGGTTTGTCACGCAGCAGCCTATCCCCCGCGAGCCTCGTGGGGGAGAAACTGCCGACCCGTTCAACGCCTCCCGAGCGCTTCACTGATGCGGTTGACTTTTCGACAAGAGCGCCCACCACAATGCAACCATCCTTGAGGAGGTCAGCGCGGGCTCTGTCCGAGCCTGGGGGCAGCAGGCGACGACGGCGACGACGAAGACGGCGGCGACGACGACCACGGCGACGCGGCAGGGCGACAGCGACGACGAGGCTGACCTTGGCGACGACGACGCCAATCAAGGCGACGACGAGGACGACGATCCAGCCGCTCGGGGCACGCAAGGCAGCCGAAAGCCACCGAGGGCAACCGCGGACCGCTGGACGGCAGGCGCTGGGCCTTCGGGATCCGGGCGATCTTGGGCATGTCGGAGCCTCGGCAGGCCCCGGGCGCTTCGCACGTGACGGGTGGTCGTCGCTGTCGGTGTTGTCGTCGCCGTTGTCGTTTGTCCTTGTCGGCGTCGTCGCTCGTCGTCGTTGGCGTGCCCGTCGCAGCCGCCACCCTCGGCGTCGGTGTCGCCGTGTGTGGCGGCGACGAGGTCCTCCTCCGCCTCCGTCTCCGTCTTCGTCTCCTCCTTCTCCGCCTCCTCCGGCCTTCCGTCCCTTCTCTGATCCTCCTTCTCTTCCTCTTCCTCCTCCTCCTCACCTCCTTCCCTCCTCTCTTCCTTCCCTCACAGCCGTATTGCCATCATCCTCCTCCTGTATCCCTCCTCCTTCCCTCCTACCTTCCATTAGCATCCGCGAGGAGTTGGTTCTCGGGGTGAAGGGTTACTTCTGGGAGCGCGGTTCCAGAGCTACGCTGAAGGGTTAGTTCTCCTGGAACGCCTGCTGCATTGTCAATCAAAACCTTGCGCTACATGCGTGGAATTTAGGTGCGGAGCCATTCGAGCGGTGCAGCGAATCCTGAAGCAGTCTGCCCCAAGTCACGCGGATAATAAACCAAGTGGGTTAAACTCAATCTTATTGGCGTTGGCGATGGAGGCAGGCGGCAAGGCCGAACGCGCGCAGGGAATACAACCATGCACCTTAAGGGTTGCCACGCGAGCTGTCAACATAATCAGGTGCGCGACAGCGGTCAGGAACGAACGAGAATCGCCAGCGGGAAACACGGATGAGTTCTCCGATGAAGCAATTAAGACAGAAAGCAATAATCGCTGCGGGAGGCTCGGGCGCTAGAACAGTCAAGAGCCGAAGCACATTTGGCAGCACCTGGTCATGATAATAAATGACAACGTATGCGTAAGTGTACAATATGCGAACATCTTCGTGCCCCGCAGCGAATGCGCAGTGCTCTGCACATACTGCCACGTGCATGTAATCTGATTAGCGAGCTCAGTCGCGGCATCATGGGCAAGAACCGGAGTTGCCAGTCGGCGATGTTTAACGCGTGCCCCAGGGCATGTGTGTGAGCACCACATTCTGCCTGCGACCAACACAGTGTGCACCACGGCACTAGCCTGCATGCACCACGACGCGCTTGATAGCACTAAAGCGTACTTGCCAACAACAAGCGGAAACATTCACAGCGCCGCGCAATGCACTAGTAATTCCACATGGCTGGGGGGCAGGACCCTGCAAGTACCACACAAGCCAGCGAGCGCCACAATGAGCATGAATGCGAACGCCGCGGTACCCCTGCGAATACTTGAGCCGGCTGCGGACACCACAAGATTTCTGAAAGCACCACGGCGCGCGTGTGACAACGTCAAGACGGCGCTTCCGCTCTCGATCAAAAGCGCCGACCACTCCCACATTGCCGAATACGTGCATACGTGGGCGTGGCACGCTAGGCGACAGGGTGCCGATCTTTTGGTTGCGTTGTGCTCGGAACGTGCGTGGTCTGGGGGGGATGCAGGGTGCGAGATCATGATGACATGTGAGAGACGACCACGCGTTGCCTTTCCAGCGCATCTGAGTAATACCTCGAGAGTATACAGGCAGCGATGGCCCCCCTTCGGTTCCTTCCCCAGCGCATCTTCATGATACCACGGGACGAAGCTCCCTTTCCAATACCGAAACCAATGCGAATCTCCACAGCGGGGCCGGAGGGAGCGAGGAATCCTAGAAGCCCTTTGGCTGTAGGCGGTTTGGGGAGCTAGTTATTCCAAGCATCCCCTCGGGGGACAGGTTTATCACTGTTCCCTATTACGATATACACCCCCTCCCCATAGGCGACCAGCAGCCGAACAGGACAAATGAGGACACCATGCTCACCCCTTACGCACCGTCCCTGTCAGCAAAAACAATAAACAACGCAGTGTGCCTCCACATTTGGAGCATGCGCGGCCAATCCGATGCGCCACCCCGACCATCCCTGTCAACAGACAATACAAGTACACTTTGGGGCAAAGTCTTTGGTCATGTTGGTGAGACCTGCGGGCATTTTGTATGGTTTCTGACAGGGACGGCGGGGGTGTCAGCATATTGCCTGCTGTGCGCAAGGCTACCATCCCTGTTTAAAACAATGCAAAATACACCTTGCGGCGAAATCTCAATTGTGCGCGGCCACCCCGCGATCACTGCCAAATGGTTCTTGACAGCGACGGCGGGGGTGGTGGCGCATGGCCTGCTGTGCGCAGGCCCACCAGACACATGTGTTCGACAAGGAGCGTGGGGGCCGACATGTTTCACGATGTGTGCTGTCACGTCCGCAGGCGCACCTGACACACACACACATACATATATATATATACACACACGCACGCACGATCACACAGACACAGACACAGACACAGACACAGACACAGACACAGACACAGACACAGACACAGACACAGACACAGACACAGACACAGACACACACACACACACACACACATTCCGCACGTGCCCCGAACGTGGCGCACCTGGCGCGGCTGGAGTTTGCGGCACATCTCTGGTGCACGCGGAGCACGTGGCGCACCTGGCGTGCCTGGCACGCTCGGGCCACAGGGGTACCTGGCGCGCGTGGCGCACCTGGCACGCGTGGCGCACGTCGCCCCAGCGTCGTGCACGTGGGGTCGGCTTCGCTTCCCAGTAGCCGTCCATCCAAAGACGACCGCTGAACATGCTCAGGCTCGGGTGTTACGTATGTGTTGGGAGGGCGGGTGGGCGTGAGCTGGACGGCATGCTATCCAGGAGGGTGTCTTGAACTCTCCCCCTAGGTCAGGACGGAGTGGTCGCGACGCGTTGGGGCGCCCAAGGTGGCCCAAGATGGCCCCAAGAGGGCCCAAGATAGCACAAGGTGGCCTGCGCGATCGCATAAGACAGCACAGACTTGCTACATATAGCTTCCAACATGCCTCCACGAGGCGCCATGACCGTCCCAAGACGGCCTCAAGGGGCCACGCAGCCTCTTAGGAAGCCTTCCGAGAAGCCAAATGTCTCCCAAACCTGACGAACATCGGCGTGTTTGCCCTGTCGCCTTTTCGCTTCCGATGGTCTGCTGGGGCCTCAAGATGATTCCAAGATGGCCCACGAATGCCCCAGGCCGGGACCGCGAGGGGCCAACGACCGCCCCGAACGCGCCACAAGAGGGCCAAAGGAGGCAACTGTTCGGGCCCCGACGGGGTGAGTGACACATGCAATCCTCCTCGTTCGGCTGGTGGTCGCCAGAATGGCCCCAAGAGGTCCCCAAATGATTCCAGCATGGCCAAGATGGCTACAAGAGACATCCCGATGGACCTACATACACACACACATATATATATATATATATATATATACGTCTGTGCGTTCGCCATCATTCGACTACTTGCGTCACTACGACGGTCCCGACGCCCATTTGAAACACAATTCCCCAGCGCACCAGTGGATTGGCAAATGGGGATACGCCAAACGTTATGACTAGTAGTAGTCGTAGTAACAGTAGTAGTCGCAGTAGTAGTAATAGTAGTAGTAGTAGTAGTAGTAGTAGTAGTAGTAGTAGTAGTAGTAGTAGTAGTAGTAGTGGTAGTAGTAGTAGTAGTAGTAGTAGTAGTAGTAGTAGTAGTAGTAGTAGTAGTAGTAGTAGTAGTAGTAGTAGTAGTAGTAGTAGTAGTAGTAGTAGTAGTAGTAGTCGTAGTAGTAGTAGTAGTAGTAGTAGTAGTAGTAGTAGTAGTTAGTAGTAGTAGTCGTCGTCGTAGCAGTAGTAGTAGTAGTAGTAGTAGTAGTAGTAGTAGTACAAGTAGTAGTAGCAACAGTAGTAGTAGTAGTAGTATTAGTAGTAGTAGTAGTAGTAGTAGTAGCAGTAGTAGTAGTAGTAGTAGTAGTAGTGACAGTGGACAAGGTAGCAGGTGGCAATCGCAATAGTAGAAATCGTAGTAGTAGTAATCGTTGTAGTAGTAGTAGTAGTGGTGGTAGTAGTAGTAGTAGTAGTCGTCGTCGTCGTCGTCGTAGTAGTAGTAGTAGTGGTGGTCGCAGTAGTAGTAGTAGTAGTAGTAGTAGTAGTAGTAGTAGCCGCCGTCGTCGTCGTCGTCGCCGACGTAGTAGTGATAGAAATAATAGTTATGCTAACAGTAAACGCAATCGTAGTAAAAATAATACTAGTAATTGAAATAATAGCAGTAGAAGTAGTAGTAGTAGTCGGGATCGAAGCAGTCGCAGTTGTCGTAGTAGCATGTCGTAGTAGGAGTAGAAGAGATAGTAGTAATAGTCGTGGTCGTAGTACTACTGACCTTAGTAGTCTTACCAGCAGTAGTCATATGCATAATCAAACTTGAAAAGCGGTAGGAGTGGTAGCTGTAGCAGTCGTAGTAGTAGTAGCCAACGTCGTACGATGCATGTAGTAGTAGTGTAGTAGCCATCGCAGTTATGATAGTAGGTCGTAGCATTGGTAGCAGCACCATCAGAAGTAGTATGGGTAGTAGTAGTAGTAGTAGTAGTAGTAGTAGTAGTAGTAGTAGTAGTAGTAGTAGTAATGAAGGTAACCGTAGAAGCAGTCGTGGAAGTAGCCGTAGTAGTAGAAATAATGATGGTAGTGATAAGAAAGGGAATGCTAGTAGTAGTGGTAGTAGTCGTAATATTACTAATAACTACGCAAGTCGTAGCTGTAGGTGTAATAGTAGGCGCATAAGAAGCAGTGGCAGTAGTAGTAGCAGTAGTAGTAGTAGTAGTAGTAGTAGTAGTAGTAGTAGTGGTGGTGGTAATAATCGTAGTATGAGTAGAGGCCGTAAGAGCAGTGAAGTAACATAGTAGTAGCCGTAGGAAAAGTAAAAGTCGTAGCCGTAGTAGTCGTCGTGGTAGTAATAGTCGTAGTCTTCGTACTAGTAGTAGTACTAACGATAGCAGTGGCAGCGGGAGTCGAAATAGAAGAGTAGTGATAGTGGTAGTAGTCGTAGTAGTAGTAGTAGTCGCACAACTCATAAAAGTCGCAGTGATAGTAAGTGTTCTAGTAATACTAAATTTTAATAGTAGCA